AAATGCGCGGCAACATAGAGATTTGAAGCTCAGGAGCAGTGAAGAACAACAATTCTTAAATCCAGACAGAAGCACAGCTAGTATAGCCATATGTTAAGACAAGCTCAGCAGATTTGCTTGGTTCCCAGTAAACTTAGGCGATCTATCCTTTAAAGCTACAAAGTTAGTTAAAACAGAGATATACACTTTATTTCACCTTTAATTTAAAAATGCTGTATAAACTTTATTTTGCCTTTACTGCTTGGTTCTGTGCAATGTTTACATCAATATGAAGCTTTATTCCTAATAGTAATCAAGCATTTTCTTACTTACCTTACATTCCCTTGGGGAATAATACCAAACCACTTACAGAGAGAAAAAAAAAAGCATTTTTCTCACTATTTTTAAACACATTCCACACCACAGACCGCTCATCTATGCCTGGTGGTCCTACCACCAAGCTCTCTTCAGCAATATTGTATTTTGAACCGCACGTATACTGCAAATTAGAAAATGCTTCATCTGTTTCTTATGCTCTCCAGCGCTAGCTGGAGTTTCTAGAGTTAGAAATATTTTGCAGCATCACAGAGCTGTTGGATGTAAGGAGCCCGTGAATGTCGTCATGTCCACCTGCCCTCTCAAAGCTATCGCCAACACTAGATCAGGTCAGCCCTAAATTTTCCCAGCTGATGCTTGAAAACATCTGAGGGTAGAGACCCATAACTCTCTGGGTAACCTGTTCCAAGTACTGCATCACCTTCTCGGAGAAGATTTTTTCCTTTAGTATCTAATCTGAATTGCTCATGCTGCAACTTGACGTCACTCTCCCTCGTCACGCCATCAGCCACTGTCAAGAATAGCTTGGCTCTGTCATCTCCGTACCTCCTCTCTGACGGTCTATTTACACATAAGTGGTGAGAACAAATGCTGAAGTTCAAAAGGATATCACATAGTTGCAAAAATGAGGTGAATAGTCATATTGAAAATAAGGAAATATAATAATAGCTCTAGACATGGAAAAATACTCTGTTCGCAACACAAAGGAAAAAATCCTAACATGATGGATCTTGGGCAAAAAACATTTACTCTGCACTTGAACAAACTGACAGGAGGACAAAATCCTATTTATACAGGCAATATAAGGGAATTTTACCCAATGTAAGTTGACTCAAAAAACACTCCAGCATTCAGAAAAGGCACCTCTAGAACTCTTCTTTAAAGAATACTTCTCTCCCGCTACCCTTTTCCAACTCTCAGGGTAGAAACCAGTGCTCAGAAGGCAAAGCATAGTGGGAAAAGGAAAGGAAGGGAGAAGATGGCCATATGCACAGTAGCAGGAGTCAGTGGAAACGTAAAGCAAGAAAAAAATAAAAGAAAACGCTTTACCTGGGATACAGCAACAGGACTTGACAAAACAGAAAAGTTTAAAGATGACAGTTTTCCTCAGCTGCTCTGTTCTAAAAGTTAACTCAGGAAAAACTCAAGGAAAAACGACAAACGCCTCTGAACCTGTCCTGCTGAGCAGCAGCAAGTGGATGTGTTTGTCCCAAGTAAGACCTACTTGAGACAGAAAGCGAAGACGATGGCTTTGGGAAAGGAAACCTTTCTTAAATCTTCTCGTAGACACGTTACAAGAGTGCCATCTACCGCGAGTAGGTACTCAAAGCTCAACCCCCGCTACTCCGCGCTAAAGGGAACACAAAACCTTTCGTACATGAGGACAGAGCACACACACGCAGGTGCCAGGCGGTACCTACTCAGACTGACGGGCGGCTCCCAAATCCTGTCACACCGGTGCCGCGAGGGCCGGACCGAACGTTCCCAGTCTTCGGCAGCCCTGACCCGCGCCAGGCCCAGCGTCGACACGCAGCGATCCCGCGGACGGCGACTACGGGACCGGGTTTCCCCTCAGGTGCGTAACGGAGCAAGGGGCCGCCCCCGGCGGGGCTCCCGCCCGCCGCGGAAAATAACGGAAGGGGGGGGGGAAACGCCCCCCGGGGCCCGGAGGCCGGGGCGGCGGGCCCCGCCCCCGCCCCAGCCGCCGGACGCCTCAGGCCGCCCCGGCCCCGGCCCCGCTCAGCTCCCGGGCGCCGGCTCCGCCAGCGCCCGCCATCGGTGCCTCAGCGACTCTTCTCAGCGCGGGGACGAGGTGCCCCGGAGGGAGGGCCGTCCGCCGCAGGCCGCCACCCGACGAGAGGTCTCCCCACGCTTCCCTTCCTGCTGCGTGAAGGCAAGAGCCCGCTCCGCGTAGCCCCGCGCTTGCAGCTGCTGCCCGTTGGATACGGAGCAAGCGATTCAGTCACGCGTGGGTTTTGGGGAGGTCTGAGAGGAAGGGAGGGAAGACCGCTCGCTCTTCCAGCCAAACGATAGGCAGATGGAAATCTTCAGGACAGCAGAGAGACACCATCTTTTATTCCTCTGCCCCCTCTTCCCAGGCTTGGCCTTTTCCTCCTTCCCTGTGCTCCAGCTGGCACGATTGCCAACTGGAAACCCAACCACCTGGTGCCAGACACCTCAAAGCTCTGAAAGGTATCTTGCAAGGGATTGCCTTAGTCTTCAACAGAAAGAGATTTTATTCCTTCTCCCTGCAGGCTAGTCACCTTTTCCCCCGCGCCCTCCCCGTCCGCACCTTTTTTCTCATCCTCAGTTGTTTGCAAAAAAAAGACTGCAGAGCATCTGTACCACTGCAGGTTCAGAGGGGGGAAAAAAGGCGGGAAGGTGAAGCACTAGTTGATGGTCTCCTTTACAATTTCAGTCCTTTTCTTGGAGAGACTGTCATATTGCCTTCCCTTATCTCTAATAGGATCTCTCCCTGCAGCAGGTCAGCGCAGGAGGTGGAGACAGGTCCCTGCACAAGGCAGAAAATAAAGCAGAATTCCTGTCCTTCCCCCTCCCTCCCTGGCAGCATAAAGATTTCGGCAGAAACCAAAAACTGCCTTGCTAAAGCAGCAACAGGTTAAGTAACACTCTACTTGAATACCAGCATCTAACTTAAATCGATTGTTAGGAAGGACATTAAGACTAGGTTTAGTAAACTAAAGAAATATCGTGCTCCTTACTAGAGACAAATTTAACTTTTAAAACTAATATTGTTCAGGTAATAGCGACAATAATCAGTATACAGTTTTGACATGCTACCATTAACCTTTAGTAAATGCAACCGTTCAAGGGTAAGGTAATGCTGACAAAGAAAAAAAACCAAACCAACAACATGACAACACACACACCAGAAGGCAGAATTTCAGAACGCAGCCTAAGGCTCACCATTAATCAAAAGAAGAGAACAAGTCACTTCATCATTTATATGCCTTTAAAGTCCAGAGTCATCTTCTGAAAATTGAGTATTCAGGTTTGAGTCAGCTTTTAATTGAGAGGAAAGCTAAGGTTGACTAAAATTTTTAAAGCTTCACATGGGAAGGTGGTATTTAACATTTTTTTAAAATACTGTGAAGATAACATGGCTTTTTAAACTTTGGTTAACCATACAGGCCTTTATAGACTTTTGTTTAAGTGTCTCACCCTCCAACAGAAACAATAGTGTTACAGTTTGACCTTTTTTCATTTTATTAGCACAAAATCATGTAGAGAGTGAAGACAAAGAGAGGAACATACATGTGTACTTAGAACATGGAAAACTCACTGCACAAATGGGAATGATTTCTTCCTTTCTGTGATCTTGCCAATTACTTCTCGTCTCACCTCAAGTACAAGAACACTGTGATAGAGCTTGCAAGCTACAAAACCCAATCTTACAAGCCTGCAGCGCTTCCTTAAAAAAACCCTGCAGTTCCATTACCAAGAAGGGGCTCAGCCTAGGTTCAGAACTACGCCTGCTATTAAGAGAACTGAACTAGAGCACTTGAATTCCCAAGTCTCCTGCCGACCGTGGTAACTTTTGGAGCAGATCCTTTATGTATTTAGTATCATACAACATCTTTAAAACAAAGGAAAAACATTTACACAGTATGTGCATACACCCTAATGTTAATGCATGTATATTCATTTTTACATAGTTCAATGAAAATCCATTCTATAAGCACAGAAGCAATCCCGTGGTTATTTCTGACCACATAAATACATCAGTTGCAGAGACTGCTTACAGTTACAGATCTCGCAGAAACTTTTATAGTGGCACTTCTATAGTCAGTTGGTCCAGTGGCTTCGCAACACCTATACACACATAGGGACAGGTAAAAAGAGGCAAGATCTTTACGGGCCAGTAGCTGAGCTTGCTGCATAGCAAGGCCGATGTACAGTATGACATCTGCAGTAATAATATCAATACCAATAAATTAGATTAAAACAATTCAGATATACTTCCCATAGTATGAAAGCCAGCATTCACAAAATCAGAAAAAACACTATTCTGTTCAGAGTGCATGGCAACAAACAAGAAGGTGTTTGCCACAGTACAGAATCAACGCACTTTCAATGTCCAGTATTATTAGTAGGTTGTGGCACACTGATATTTAACTGCCGTGCAAGGATAACGCCCTCAGACATTTTCCTAGGAATTGTCTTGATTATCAGTCAGAGGGTAGAGAGATCCACCACCAGAAGTCAGTAACTTTGTCATTTCTGCGCTTGGGAATAGCTGAAAGTGGTTGCTTTATTCCAACAGATGGCAGACATTTCAGTTTAGTTAGCCATGCAGCTGTTTTGTGAATAGGATTAATCACACAGATTTATGACATCCATGTTTTTGCAAAAGAGAGCAGGTAGTTTATTTCTGGTTTTAATACTTCCCTTCCATCAAAGGGGGCATACCAAGAAGCGTGGTCTGAAAGCAAAGTATCACGATCTCTTACAATGAAGCTCCAGGTCAGCTCTCCAAACATAGAATCACTAGAACAGAGCTCTACCTTGCATCCACTTAACAAGTACAGAATTCACGAAAATACTCTGAGCACACCGGCGAGAGCAACAACTACTTTATGGAATGATTTGTGAGACCAGCCTCACCAAACAAAAAGCCTGAGTTTCACAAGCCTAAATAATAACACCACCTTTTTTTTTTTTTTTTTTGCATGACAAAAGGGTAAACTTAAGCAAAGGTGGATATTCTACAGATTAATTAATTAAAAAAAAAAAAAAATTGAGTTGACTATTCAGTGTTTCACACAAAAGTCAACTCAATCATTTGTAAGTTTTGACCGGGCAATCAGTCAGAGACAGACTGTTAAAATAGGACTCCAAACTGAAAAACCACTGCACTTGCAATAAAGCTGGTTTCAGACTGGCATTTCTAACTCCACTGGCCTCAAAGTATTTTTACAGTAGTTTCAGTTGTCCAACATGAGTTACAAGCTGCTGTTCCACAGTTAGCACCACTCTTCTCCTGTGAAACATACTTCAGGCTTTCAGACTACTCTTCTCTTGTTCCACAAAACTTTGGAGTGAAGAGCTGACAAGTCTATCCAACGTCTTTAGTTCTCCTCTAGACTGCATTCCTAGGTGTGCCATTGTGAGTCACTGCTTTCATATTTGAGGCGCTTGATTGATGGTTGCAGATTCTGTGGGAGGCAACACCTACTTCAAAGACTTCATGAATGGCTTTGCGGAAGCAATGAAAATTGTAGTCTATCAGACCTGTCAAGAAGGAAGGGGAGGGGAGAGGAAAAAACATGCTCAGCTTGGCACATTTACGTAATCAACAGAGCTTCAAAATCAATACAAAATGTTTCGTTTAACCAATAGCTATTTTGCTACCTATTTTAGTATGAATTTGGATTCAGATTTAACAAAGTTTTACTGATGCCAGTATTTATTTAGACTGTCTCAGTTTTTAGGAAAAAAAAGGTACTCATTTAGAATGCAAGGCATGTCTTCATAATTAAACAGCAGGTGAGGGGACAACACAAGACTCTACTCCCCAAAAACATGCCAGTACAGCATGACCATTGCTTGAATGTTATCTTGCTCTTTATGTCATTGATATCTATCCTAACTGTGGTGAGAAAAACTTTGAGATAAAATACAGTACAGTTATTAAAAGAACACATCTGCTTTTTCTCTTTCTAAAATGCCAAAGTACTGTCCTGTCACCATTTAAGTCAATCACTTTGAAATTAGGGCCTACGCTGTCACTTCTACCCCGTAACATATGCAAGACCATTCATACCACCATTCCATCATCTCCTACAGGTCCAAGCAACTATATAGTTGGTTAGACCTGCAATGTATTAAACACTTTGTTCTAAGTTCCTACCACATACTGTACCAGCCTACAGTACATACAGTTAATTTCTTCAGTCATACGTTAAAAAAATTCCATCGGTGCGACACATGACAGATAACACAGCTGTTCACAATACAGCAGCCGCCAAGCGAAATATAAGGATTACTCCACTCTACTGATTCCACTATAGCAGCTGGTAGTGACACAGGCCACACTAGCCACACAAGTCATTTCAGCAGGTACATACAGTTAATTTCTTCAGTCATACGTTAAAAAAATTCCATCGGTGCGACACATGACAGATAACACAGCTGTTCACAATACAGCAGCCGCCAAGCGAAATATAAGGATTACTCCACTCTACTGATTCCACTATAGCAGCTGGTAGTGACACAGGCCACACTAGCCACACAAGTCATTTCCGCAGGAGGAGAGCAATTAAAGCAATGATTCACAAGAATAAAAATAAGACTTCTTTATACCTACCTCTAGGAAGGGAGAAAATTCCTCCCAGGAGAAATTAAACAAATTTAGTGACACAAAAATCAAGGTGACTTGTAAAGTCATATTAATATTTTACAGTTGATAAAAACATTAGATAAAAGCCATTCAATGGGGGGAAGTCCTTACCTTTGCGCTCAAAACTCTCTTCTCTAAGAATGCAAACTAATGCCAAAAACTTTGTTACTTCCTTTAAGTACAGGACCGTTGTGTTATTGAGCTTGATAATTGCCATTGACTCTTTATCATAAGCACTTCCAGTGCCATCTTCCTTTAACCTAAGAAAGAACAAGTTAGCCCAAGGCATAAGCTAGTAGGCACATATAAGTAACTTCAAGACAAATACCTGTTAAATGCAGTTAGAAGAACTCATTACTCATACTGAACGGTGAGCAAGTGAAGAACCTGCAATGCAGGTCTTAATACTATGGCAAGTAAGACCACTGTCCCACCTGAAGTTTCTCAAGAAAGCTAAACCTAAATGGAGTAGAGGCCTTCACTAGGTACCATCTTAGACGAGCAGTTAAGAGCAAGCTATCAGCATGCATTTTTTTTATATCAAACTAAGAGCGGTGTCTGTTTAGTCGATACTGTTTTCAGCTTACAGCTGAGCATTCTTAATGGAGGTAGTATAGTACGTTAGTTATAGCACAGTTTACCTTCAAACCAAAGAGTCACTGCTACTCGCTGTCTCACTCAGATTACAGTGCCACAGTAAGGTATCAAGTGATTGGTTTGAAGATCCTAATGCAAGACTTCTCTGTAGAAACGTCAACGAAGTGACATCTCAGCAAAATTACTTGTGGTAAATTAATATAAAGGCTTCCTTAGTGAGGCCAGAGGGAAGGGGTGGCTGCAACAGGGAGCAGGACACTTTTTGGTCTTAAGCTAAACCAGCCTACATTTACAAGAAAAGATTAGGATGCTGCTTTCTATCTGCAAGTTATTACTGTTAGTTAAATTACTGTAGAAGCAAAAGATGAATCGCAAGCTACTTCTAAGCACTCACTCCTGAAAAAAAACCCCAAACAGTTACACAACCCTGGGTTGAACCATCAGGAGACAAACCATTAAACGTTGCAGCATTTCTTGGCAGCAATGTATTTTCCAGTTCTAAAGTAAAGTTGCTGCTTCTCCAGAGCCACTTCAAAAATCCATCGTGAAGTGCAATTCGGCCGTAAATTGTGAGGAACAGGCACTATATGCATCCCTCAGAGAAAGTCAGCAAGAGCCAAGCTGACCTCACAAAAGCTATTCTGTTCCGATAGCGGCAAGTGTCAAAGCAATGCGACTGCAAGTTACGCTTAGGAGCTATGGCACGCTATCGACCCCGGTTATTTGCAGATATTAACATACTTGCCCCACCATGCCAAACAAGACACAGCAGTATTCAGATTTTACACGAAACACTTGACTTTTACAAATGTCAGATGGCTGTCTAAGGCCATGCATGGAAGGAAACAGAGTACAAGTGCTCGATCCAGCTGTCAAATCATTTGGCTTTATTCTAGTTAACTTACAGAAGCAATGCGTTCTACAGACCGAGTGATTGCATCTTGCTGGATGACAAAGCCAGCACCACTTGTGCAGCTTGCAACCTATTCTACAACTTTTAAGGACTTGTTTCCTAAGAGAATTCGTCACTTACCCATATATACAGGAAACATCTATCACTACATCAATCATGTCGCAGCACAACTCATACGACTGCATGTCCACAGGAGAACTGTCTGTTGCGATGTAGATTTTGCTGACTACATCGAAGAGAAATGCTTTTTCGATGCCTGAATTCTTCAGAAAGAGGAAGAATTTGAATGAATTTTTAAAATAACTGCATTTTTTAAATCTCAAGTAGAATTCATACACTTTCATATTCTTAATAGCAGGAAGTGGTTTAAACATGACCAATTTAGAGGCTTAAAACAGAATCAAGATTTAGAGCATAAAGTTTATAAATACAATACCCTTGTTGCCATAGTACATACCAACATCACCTTCTAGTTGACAAAAATAAAGCTGGGGACTCTGTTAGAATTCTTTTTAGTTTATTATTTACCAGATCATAATTAAGGTTACATTTTACCATGCTTCCAGAACCCAAATTCAGCAGTTTTCCTCTTCTGTGGTTCTGTTAACCCCAGAAGAGCCACACCTTCACATTCACCCAATGGACCAGGTTCAGAAACGAGTTACTTCACAGTAGTATGCTGACATTTAAATTTTACGCTTGTAGTATCTTGGCAGTTCATTTTCTGTGTGAGGCAGTTGCTGTGTAGTTTAACATGCAGAGCAAATAAAGTCAGCTTCTAAACCTACAACTCCATTTGTAACTAAGCACTAGGGCAAAGTGCACATGCTCATACTAAGTTCAGAAGCCTTCTGCTGTTAAGCAAGTTACCACATAGACACTACAGATTTCTGGCAAAGCTTAATTTCTATTTATGCACCAGAAGCATTCCTTATTGCTTCTTCCTAACCAGTCTGAATACCCAGGGCAGTGTCCTGAGGACATCCAGACGATCCTTTTGGCATCAGGGCCATGCTCCATACCCTCATGGCACCGAGCAGGGTGAGCATCGACGTGCCCTTTATCCACTGGGCCAGGTTATTACCGACAGCCCTCTACCAGCACAGGAAACACGCGTTATACAGTAGCATGGGGGGACCTGTCTGACTCCCACAGCTCCACACCGCCCACATGCCTGCAACAGCCTCACAGACATAACTTAAATGAGACAGGCTACTTCAGCCTTGTCTCTAGGGTGATATTTTACTTGATTTAAAGTATACAGCAGAAATTTCAATGTCACAAATTCTATAAGAAATGCAAACACTAAAAGAATAAGGGCAAAAGTCTCACAGGCCACATGAAACAGACAGTTTAGTTCAAGGCCAAGTTCGTATTATGAAAAAAGTTTCTTGCCCGTACAGCTACATTAGACTACTAAGTACCTTAGCAAACTAATCACTATATCGTGCTGGCAGAAAACTTCCGTATCAACAGTTACAACCAGCCAAATTATGTTTTGTCAGTGTTCAGAGAAACCCACACAAAGCAGGCACCAGTACAATTTAGCTGTGGAAAAGAGCTTCTAACGCAGACAACCGGGCCAGCAGAGTACACCAGCATGGGTGCCACCCCAGTCTCCCAAGGGCAGATCTAGCCAGCGTTCCTTAGCGCAAGGACTTGCTTTACCATTCCGCGTATTTCACTCAAAGTTCCGTTAGATTAACACTTACTGATATAAAGATATTTAGTAGATTTTCCAGCGTTGGCAGTTGCGGAATGAGCTTCTGTACCACTTTACTGAAGGCTTCAAATATTGAATGGTCATAGATACTGGTCAAATAAAAGCTGAGATGAGGAGGGAGGGAAAAGGACAAAAAAAGAACAAGGATTCAAGAGTATTTCAGAATTGCAATAGAGATGTTAAAGCTATGTTTTCTAACATTTAGTCCTGATGATTTAGCTGGAATGCCTTTATCACAAATATACCTGGCCACTGCAGCAAGAACCTGATTTCTGAGTGACTGGAGTAAACATGAAACAGACTTCCCCCGTCCCCGGGAGATGGGAGAATAGAGAGAAAAATTTGAACACGCTTTCACAACACATTTAGCCTACAGAATGCTTATCACAAAAGCGTTAAACACTCAACTAGATTTCTTCAAGTTCCATTCCTGGCCTTCCACTTTGTTCACACTAATACCGAGAGATGCTGGCAATACTTAAAGGCTCCATGAGAATCAAAATAGCAGTAAAAACAGAAAAGAGAGCTCATTTTAAAGGTGTCAGTAGAAGACACCTTAAAAGTGAGCCAGATATCGAGTAAGAGGCTAAGCTTTTAAAACCAATCATGCTGAAAGGTCAGTGCTAGCCAGGACCAGAAGGCAGGCAGCTTCCCTCTCCTTCCCCTGCCCTTCAGGCCACACGTACAAATTCGACCTGTTACGCTGAATGAAAAGTATGCAAAAGGACCTTGAATTATCAGCAAGTTTACGAATAAAACTGTTGATTGGAATCTGATACAGTAGCCTGCCTTATTTTAGTCTGCCTAACAGCTGAGGCTTGGCCATAAATTCAGCAGTGTATTTTATAACAAGAGTTTGTGCAATATTAATAAACTAACAAGGCCTTGCTCCAGTCCGTCCACTATCACATCTAAAAGCCCTTAGTCTGTATGCCTGCCAGCAACAGTAGAATCACTTATGCCAGAATCTTTAACTCACCTAAGGTGAAGTTTTTCAAGCCCAGCATCCGTAAGGTCATCATTAGCCCTCTGATGAATATCTCTCTGAGTTTCTATTTTATGGTCATCCGATAAACCATCAACTTTATGAATAAAAACTTCAAAGTTCATTTCCGGGTTGACCTTGTAGGCTTTTGAAACTGTAATGTGGAGTCTTGTTAAAGCTTCCATGTAGTCATCCTGTAAATCAGTTTTGGCAGGAATGAATGACAAGGCTTTATCTCCGATAACTATTCCATTCTGCACAAGGACAAAATATTTCAGAGCAAGAACTTCACTTCACTTCTGTAACTAAAGAGAAGTATGGGAGGAGAGAATACCTTGGAGTGTCAGAAATCCAAGTAGCTTAGATTCTGTTCTGTAAATTAAGTTGCATTAGCTATACAAGGCTCAGCTATACAAAACTACGCTTCAGAGCAAAAGGCAGGTTACACTTCGACTCCAGCAAAAGGAGGCAGTGATCTCCAAGACAGTCCTAATAACCAGGTAATCGCCCACGGTGCAATTCCTAAGTTCATTTGAAGCTACCAGATACCCAGTAGTACCAGTGCTTGAAACTGAGGTCAGAAGCGTGCTGCTATTAAATGAACTCCATAGCAGTCAAGAGCAGAGGGAAGGGACAACTCAGACCATCTAGCACAGCAGGTTCTCGCTATTATTGTAGAAAAGGTAAGTTCAGACTACTCGCCCCTTTCCACTCTCTCCACCGGGAGCGTACGTTCCAGTCACTTCACAAAACTAAAAACCACAAACCAAAAGTTAGATTGCCAACGCATCCTTTCATACATAACAGATGTTTTATGAAATTATCTAAAAATATAAATTATTAGCTTCTCCATCATTCCTCTTGCACACAAAGCAAAAAGAAAACTTCCTTGTGATTCTTAGTGACTTGTATTTACCTGGGCATCAATAACATATATTAGAGCACCTGTTCCTCTGAAGATCATCTCATAATCAAATGTTGGATCAAAGAAGTCCATCTGTCCAGGAAAATCCCATATTTGGAAATTCACAAATGAACTGTTGGAAATATCATCTTTGTAGATCTTGTTGGTACTTTCCAAGAACAGAGTCTCATTAGGAGACATTTTGTGAAAGACCACCTGTTAAAAGAACACAAACAATAGTCTCAACTTTATCTTATTAGAAGAGATTGGTAAGAGTTCTGTGACTTGCATCTTACAAATAGGTTTGTCCTTTCTAAAGTATACAGTTTCCTTTTGGCAAACAGACAGCTTCCTGCATCAGCTAAGGAAATAACTTCCCCTTGACCAGAACCAAGCAACCGAATACAGTTAAACATTTTCACAAGTCTAAATAACACTACTGCCTAAAGACACATACATTCCAGTTACTCTTTGTTGCTTGCAAGTCTAACACAGTATTTTCAAATTCTGCTATGTTAGCCAATTCAGATCTGGTATGAAGCCATCGTGTTAAGCAACTGCAAGCTTTTAAGAACTGTTCCTTTCCAGTCTTAGAAATTCCTAAAGGAAACTTTGCTTTTAGTTTGGTGTCAAGTGTTACGACACAATATAATCAGTCTTCCTAAGCTACAATAAAAATGTACAAAAATAACATCTCATTTTTTAGAGACCCGAATAACTAAGTAGTTTACCATCTGTTAACAACTGAATTATCTTTGCTGACTCTCTCCTTTCAAATACCCTGAAGAAACGATGAACGCTTTCATGCTAGTTGGTAAACGGTTTAGCTGCAGTGATGAAAAACATCCTCACTGCTAGTACTCAAAAAGCCCCCCGGGGATTTTAGCCCTTCCCCGAACAAACAGAACTAGCAGGTAACCCCACAGCAAAGCGGCCTGTAGCAAAAGCAGTTTCAACAGCGAACATTGCGCTAAAGCAACTCAACCGTATGCTACAAAAGTTACTACAAACATAAGGTGGTCAAATGCTAGGACTGCAAAAAGAAAGATGTTTCCTATATAGCACTCGGTAATTTATTTTTTTTAATGTTTCACACAGTTACAGAAGTCATCCATTAAAGAGACCTAGTGCGACAATCTCTGTCAAAAAAGCTGCAAGACAGACAACTCGACACCCAGCGTAATCAATGGACTGTTTAGCGAGGTTCAAAGTAGTACATCAGCCTAGATTTTTAAGACCGAGGAAAAAAAATTCAGTTCCTCAAGGCAAACATTTGAGGAAGCCAGGATCTAAATGAGATTTTAAACAGCAGGACATTTGTGTGGAAAAATAAGAACAGTTCTAGATATGTAGTGGCTGTATTGCAAGGACTAGAAATTCCTCAGGGTCTGCAGCGCAGTTTTAATGCCTTCTGAAATCAATGTTCCTTCTCTGGAACTCAGTGTCTCCCACAGGGAGGAGGAGAGAATTAGCAAATCCAGTTTAAAGCAGATGAGTCTCTGAGAAGCAATGCCATCATCCCCCTTTCCCCTCCTTCCCAAAGCAGCACATTTCATCAGACTGATATTCCCCATCTGTTTTGTACACTAATAGGGGAACCAGGGCACAGTTTTGATCAAATTCCATTTCTATCGCCTAGCATCTACCCCCACTCTTACTCGCTTCACACAGCTTCAATGAAGCAATAAAAAGGCTGTGGAAGCATCTGATTGGAAGCACGCCGCTAACGCTGATGCCAAGCAATTTTGCCTAGGCACACGCAGGCAGAGCAGACAAAGCTAGTAAAATTTAAGAATCTGCTGAGTTTCTTCGCTATGGCTTTTACCATTCCCAAGTGTTCCTTTTACACCTTCAACAGCCAACGGTCTCATCGACTTCCTGCTTTTACCCTGTTTTAAGAACTTTTCACTGTCAGCTTGAGCACTCTCAGCAGTATACTCTTTCAGAGGTGTTTTTATCCCTTCTGAGTTTCCCAATCACACCTGACCTGCCACGATCTCTGTGTTTTCAGGATTTTTTTAATTTCCTGACATGTCAACCTTTTCACTACAATAACTTCTCTACAGCGGCACTTGCTGTTATTTTTGAATTGCAGCAGTTAAGCTGCACTCCTGATGCAGTATTTCTGAACCACTTCCATGGTTTTAGACGGCCTTTTTCTTTGGGTTTTTTTGCTGTGTTTTTTTTTTAAACTCACAATTTCTGTCTCAGTTTTCAAGTAGTTACCCTTCCTTGGATCCCCGAGCTGAATTTGTCCGACACGTTCGCTCCCACTACCTTAAACTTTGAAAGGACTCCCCAGGGAAGCAGGTGTTGGGGTTTTGGGGTTTTTTTGGGGGGGTTGGTTTTGGGGGGGTTTTTTGTTTGTTTTGGGGTTTTTTTTTGTTTTTGTTTTTTTTTTTTTAACAAATTAGAGAACAGCCATATTCAGAATTTCACTTCCAGCTGAAACGTTGGCCTGATCCATACAAACAAACATTTCCCAGCCCGCCAAACAATAATCCTATACATTGAGTGACAAGCATGACTTCCACAACATCCCTACTGCCAGAGCTTATGATCAAATACAACCTACCACCGCAAGACACCTTGTCGGGTACATTGTAGCAACACCTATAAACTGCAAGAAGAATATCTAAGGCAGGAATTGCAAGTTGCTGAGAAAGTAACAAACCTAGGATAGTTTCCATTTTTTTGACACTTTGTCTGCCAACATGAATAACTGGTTTATATCTGAGAAATCTACATCCTTTTCCTCGGAAGGGAAACAACAACCAGAGCCAGAACTTTTCTAAGAATCTTCACAGTGCAAGTAACCCGAAGGGAAGAACCCGTCACCGGGAGCCGTCCCACGCCACCACGAAGCACACCTCCATGGAGTCTGCACAGCCGAAGCAGGCAATGTGCCCTTCATAAACAACCAGTCTCCCCACTGCAGCACAGGATCATTCTGCACATAAAAACAGGCACCTTTACCTATAAGTCCAAATGCAGAATGGGTTTTCAAACTCCATTTTTTTTTTTTTCCAGTAAACCCCTTTTTTCCTTGAGGTAATATTAGACTATTTCTATTGCCCTGATGTCCAGAAAGGAATTTGCACGGGCACATGGAAGGAGGTCCCTGAAAAGAGAGAGAAAAGGTACGGTATTGCAAGATGGTGTTGAGAATCTACTAATTGGAAGCGAGCAGCTGCTTCACAGGTAACAACGAAAAGCAACTTCCAAAGGATTCCCTAACAGCAGTAAGATGTACAACCGTTTTGTCATTTTCATGCTTTCCAGAATCTTTGCTTTAATTTTGTGGATTTCTTAAGCTGCTATAATGAATGAGATGGACTCAGAAGCAGCAGCTGTCTTTTTTTCCAGGGAGAGATTTGGGGGGAGTGGGGTGACAAAGGAAGAGGGTAAGTACAGCGAAAGGAAGACAAGACAGACAGTTTTTAAAGAAATTCACTAGTTATTAGGAGCACTACATTACATCTTGCTGTAAGATTTTCTAAGTATTAGAGCGCGCTGCAGAAGCACGACAGACAGCTGGTTCTGACTCCCTACTCCTCCAATTCAATTCATTAATTTAACACCTTTAAAGAAACATGGGTATAAATGAAAGGTTTACAGCAGCTCCAAACAAGCTGCTGCTTTAGGTTCTACCACACTCAAGTTCCTCCCCCAATAATATATTTATGCTAATCTTATGAAGGCAGAGCAGCAAGTCTGGTGACCATGACAAAAAAAAAAAAACAAACAAAAACAAAGCAAAAAAACCCCCCACACACCCCCAAAAAACCCAAACCCAGGTACTCTGTTTGAACTCTTTCCAGGTTCCTATTACATAAGAACAGTACAGTAAGTCCAGTTACGCAAGTCATAATTCTGCACAAAAAATTGTTTTATAAACTGAAGCAATCATCACATTCCCCACATCTCCTAACCTCAATTTGCTACTGAACATTCACAGGTTATAGCAGTAGGGAAAATACAATTGTCCAAAGGAAAAAAAAAGAGTTCCTCCCCAGCACCATCATTTTTTGTTTTGTGAGAGGCCTCTTGTTAATATTGCTCTCAGCAGGAGGCTGGAATGGTTTAATAACTCACGTTTTTCACACAAATTTCTAGATTCCCACAAAGCAAATACTTTTTCCTGACACAGTGTTTATCGTGCATACCCCCACTCTCTGGCAAGGTGATCAGCAACTGGTGCCCAGACAGAAGGGACGGGTCTGGTTATGACCATTTTTGGCCTAGACAGATCTAAGAGCTAGGGCGCTGCTGAAGAGAAACTTCTCAATACTCCAAGCATCTCAAATTATTGCTGCAGTTAGTTTGCCCAGGCAGCAGCACAATAAGCCCCTAGGTAACACAACCACAGCTTCTAATTCCCAAGCCAGATCAGCAACCAATTGGCAAAAGATAAATTCTGCATCCTCTTATTGCATACTCAACATCGCCCTGTTCCTTTCCTGTACAACTACTTGAACGGGTCCTCCGAGAACTGATGCTACCGACCTTGGTCATAAAAAAAAAAAAAAAAGTCCGAAAGCTACATCTATAAAGTGACTTGGAAAGTCTTAAAAATCTAGCTGCAACTTGGAGTTACTGCTTCCCTCTAGCTTTTGGGGCTCACTTTTTTCAACTGTGGATAATACAATAAGATCTCTAACGAGTCTACAAAGAGAGCCATTCACCTGACTAAAGGCTTCGAGAAAGGCTCTCAGTGCCGTCACTGCATTTGCACATACAGCGCGGGCATTAGGCCGAAATCATGGGAAATAACTGGAATGACTGAAAAGCAACGACAGCCCAGTCTGCTGCTGTATTTCAGAAGAGCACAATGGAAAAAATTTCTCACTAACAGACACGGTACCTTTCGCAAACCCTGTCTAAAGAAAGACAAGCCCACAGCAAGATGGGAATCTTCAGACCGGTTTAGAAGCCACTGGTCTGGTACAGCCTACGGATTACCAAGCAGCCCGCGTAAGATGGCTAAAGGAAGCAGATCCATACCTGCTATACTGCAATGTCCAAAAAAGGCTTCCCTGCATAAAACCTTTACAGAAATCTCTGAAGGCTTCCACACTTGCATTTGCAGAAAGTTTGAGGCCCCTAAGCCGAGAGCTTGAGAACTAGCATTTCACTAGTAACGCCTTCCCATAAAAATATCACCTAAAAGCTCCATACTAGGGACTGCAAATACAAAACTTGCACTGAGGAAGAAGGATCGTTCTTAGCGCTACACTTCTCTTGAGCTACACGGCAAATGAAAATAGTCAGTTTTGTCTTATTTTTATTAAGAAACACCAGCGATTTGACAAAGCTACCAACAAACCTAAGGCACCGAAACTGTTTTATTTCCTCCTTTACCAGCGACGCTTCTTTGCTCAGTCTAGCGTACTAAAGGAAACCAGAGGCTGCCTTTCTGCTCATACAAAAGCCAAAGTCTCTTTCGGAGGATCAAACGGCAGAACAACAGCTCAAGTCTTCTTCCCACCTGCACCGCTCACGGTGCTTCCACAACCGTAAGAAAATGCCTCATGACGTTGCACACCAGTATCTTCACTTTTTATTTATGGAGCGTTGAAGTGAAGAACTGCGAAGGCTACGAGCTATGCTACACAACCCTCCTCTCTGGGGCTGAGGACCCGAGTCCGCTCCGGGCAGCAAGCCTCTAAGCAGGAGCCTCCCTTCGCTCCAACTTCGCCAGATGCGCCCACACGAAAAAGCAGAAATTGCCTCAGCAGCAGCAGCAGCAGGGCAAGGAAAGAGCTCAGCGCCGGAGAGGCAGGGCGGCAGGCGGGGCCGGGGAGCCGCCTGCTGCCCCTCACCTTCTGGATGGAGGACTTCCCGCTGCGCCGCAGCCCCATAAGCAGGATCCGCGGCTTGGAGTCCG